ATTTGTAAATTGTATTTAGGTTGTAGGGTGCGATTGAGCAGTGAAATTACAGCAAATGATTGTCTTCTGTATTGGCAACATATAGTGGTGATTATTAATTTAGCCATGGGTCCATAGGGGAGTCAGCTCGTGCAATGTGCAAAGTGCCACCTAGTCGAAACGTCTAGAGAGATAAATACTCTTATTTGCCATACAATTATACGTTATACCCGTTTAACTATTAATATTGTGTACAAAATGCGAAAGTTTAAAAATAAGTATGTGACACGGGTGTCACAACACATGATAACGTGATGTCCGTAGTTTTTTTATTGATTCCTCTAATGCTGTTAGCCGCAGCTGGCCTTTACAGCTTAAACGGACATTAGGGGGCGAGTGCAGATGGCACTCCAAATCCGCGGAAGGACTTATGAAGCGGCAGAAGGCTAACTCCCACCTCCCGAAGTTAATACCATGTTGAAAACACCGAGTTTAATCCGATGTCAGTACTGCTTCATGTATATAGGCGACGGTTACCACTTACCATCAGGTGGGTCATTAGCTTTCCCGATTCATAAACAAATAGCATCATTACTGAGTAATATAATTTTCTTATGGAGATACAACCCGCTCCATCACTATTCTTGGGTATTTGAAATGTGCAAATCAGTTAAAAACCACCTGACCATAAGTGCAACTAGTGCCTACGCTCAACAATAATCTGCATATTTTGCCAAACTGAAGAGGAAACACATCCTATGTGGTTGTAGCCCACTCATACATAAACGAAATATCGCATTTGGAAAGTTTATACTCTTTCCTGAGGAGATAAATACCATCGCACCTAAGAATATCTTTCAATTCTTGGCCCTGACGGGTCTAGGTAGCGAACTATGAAAAGAGCAAGCACAATAGATCTATGTAGGTCGCAGTGCTACAGGTCCATGCACCAGACAATAGCCCAATCAACCCAATAAAACAAAAACATAATTGCCCATATACTTGAATTACATTATAGATATCATGTTATCATTGAACACTTGTGATACATGCGTTGCCGTATCACAAGCAGGCGAACTGAGATGTATCTGCTATCTTACCTCTTATCGGGTAAATGCCTTATTTTGTGATAGTATAAGTTTTTTAATTAGAGTAATAAACTTACATTAAATTCAGTATGTGTAGACTTAGAAAACAAACGTTTAAAAGGAACAACAAAATTTTATTTAAAAAAATATATTATATGGTAACAACAAATATGCAACAAGCCTATTTTATATTATTAAACATTTTTGTGCATTTTATACTATTTATTATATTGTCTCTTATTTTCCTAATTTAATAAACAATTATAAAATCTATCCAGTAGGTATACAGTTTTATCATTATCTTATATATAAAATTGTCGTGTCACAATGTTAGTTACCATACTTCTCCCAAACGGCTTGATCGATTTTTATGAAATTTTATATGCATATTCAGTAGGTCTGAGAATCTACTTTTCATACCCCTAAGTGATTAGGGTTGTCCACCTCTAACATTATTTTTTTATTTATTGGACAATTTTTTTTATTTATATTTAGTTATTATGTGTCATTAAAAAATACATACAAACCTAAATATTCACCCTTCTATTACCAACCCCTATTTTTTATAGCGTTATTAATTTATATGGCAAAACGTTTGCTACTTCAGGCCCTACATGGTATACGACATTATTACTTATTTATAGTGTATATTTACAAAAACTCCATCAACAATAGAAATACAAGTACCTATAAACATTACAATAAATTTCTCAATTCATCATTGTCTAAATATAGACCCCATTATTTGTGGTAGGCGAAGTCATCTTCCATCCCTATCAGCCGTCATATCTGAGCTTACTCTTCTTTCATACATATTAAAATACGTTTGTTAATTATGAAGTGCTAATTTAATAGTCTCATATATTGTCCACCAGCAGTCCTGTGAATATTAGGGGGCTCGTGTGAATGACCTCCCTTAGATATTTCAATAAGGTTGAGTTCATTGTCGAGATGAATATAAGCTATGCATGTCTTTGACATGGAGCAAGCCCATCGCCACCCTTTTCGTCTTTTGACCGGCACCCTTCTGGAATACGTATACCCATGTAACATATACATACATTTTCCATTTACGAACTGTATCAATCGTCCTGAAAATAAATAATATTTTATGTTATTACATTAATAAAAATTTTTCAATTTATTATAATAAAAATGCCCAAATTGCGGTACCAGGTTGAGATTGCAAGTGATGAGAAAATTTCGACGGAAACCAAAAGATATAAATAGTAATATATTTTATTGAATTAGGTGTTCTTTTTGATGATGATGACAACTATGGAACTTGTTCAATGACAATAAAAAATTTTTACGAAGAAATAAGATGATCTTTTATAGAATACTAGTATAATAATCCTTCACTCCGTTTACTTTCTTAAATAAAAGACAGACTGTCTGAGTTGGATATCTGTAAAATTGCTTTTAATCATGAATTGTCTAGACACGTTACCGCGTGTCTAGAAAGGGTAACAAACAAACAATTAGATAGACAGAACAGGGAAAAGAAGAGAAAAAAGAAAACGATAACATTTCTTAATCCCATGGACTGGTATAGTTTATTAAATAAAAATACAAATGACAAAACTTTTACTCTGCTTAGATTACGTATATAATATACAATTTATGAAAAAAAAAAGAATTAATGAAATGTAATATAAAAATTTACGAAAAAAAAGAAAATTACTGAAAGATAAAACCATTTTGGTTATCAACCAAAAGTCAAGCCACTAGTGAGCTGAGAACTGGTAGCATCTTGGCAGAAGATAAGCATGCCGATTCAGAGAGAAAACGATTCCAATAACTAGGGTACACTGCTTCGATTGCTTCGTTGAATAACAGTTATATATATAGACATGGCCTGGTATAAATTATTCTTCATAAGACAAATAAGTTTTCTATTATTATAGTCTGACGTATTTCCCTGTGCACGACTGTTGAAATCTAGTGGGTGGGTGGTTATGATCATGTTTCTGCTTCAAAACCTTCAAGTCTTCGCTAACATGGAGATATGTCGTGCATCCAGCTCTTGTACAGCACCATCGGTAAGCAAGTCCAGAATATTTTTGTAGTGTTCCTTTCTTATAAAATGGATAACCTTCCACAATTAGCAACTGTTTCCCGCTGAAAAGTTCTATGAGTTTACCAGTTATGTTTCCTGTCCAATCTGTAAGGTGACAATTACAATATAACGTAACACAAGTATATTAAACATGTTTGGTATATAAGATGTTCTGATTATTATTAATTTCCTATTTATTGTAGAATAGTGAATTATGTTCTATTGTTTAGTTTAGTTTTATAGGCATAACATTGTAATGTGAGCCGTGTACCAAATACATATTTCTTTTTATAATTTTCATATTATTTACTCAGACTGCGTATTGTATATTAGTTACCATACATTTTCTCTTTCAAATATTTTTCATAACATTGGCAATAACTACATACAATAATCTGTATTTTTGTAATCATGTGGAAACTCATTTGAAAAGAACTCTAAGCTAAATAACCAACTAAATCTTCTCAGCAGTAATTTCTACTCATACTGTCTGTTATTACAGACATTTACAATCTAGATATGATGTAGATAAATCTAACTAAATGATCTGATTCTGATTGAACTATTTTGTAGCAAAATACTTACCTAATTATTAGATGAAGTTGAGTCATAATGAGGATCTTGGATTAAAAAAATAACAAGTGTATCTGAGTACGTATACTGATATATTTTAATAAGAGTAGGCAAATCATAAAAAATAATACAATTATTATGACAATTAATGTCATGCAAACATTAAATCTAAAATTAAGTATATATGGGCCATTGTCTGATGCTACCACTAACAAGAGGAAGTTGCTATAAGAGACGGGTGAGGACAGTGAATGCGTCAACATCGCCTCTAGACCCCAATCTCTAAAGCATAGACAACGTCCCATTTTACACGACACAATATCTAATATCTAAAATACAGTCCACTAAAAATGTGTCTATATTTAAGAACGAGATCCAATAATATGAGATACCATAATTATCACAAAAAGCATGCAGTCTTATAATATAGTATTAGCTCCAAAAATATTTGTAGAGAATCACACAATAATACTGGGTATGTTGCAAAATGCATTTCTTATCACACTCATTTTAAAATTACAAAGAATTTCTATCACGTAAAGTTATTATTATTATGATATACGAAACTAATTCTAACAAGGACACGTACTACACTAAGGCACTTTTTCTTATTAAAAAAGAACGAACGGTAACAGAAAATATTGTTTCTTAAATAATTTAAAATGCAATTATAAACTTAAAATTAATTATTGTAATGATTGAGAATAAAGTGTATACTATGAACGTGGATGGGTGTAAAGGTAAGGGACGCCCTAATGATGATATGAATAAAAGAAGAGTATGCTCAGATATGACGAATGATAGAGAGCAGTGGAAGAGAATGACATACTGCGCCGACCCCAAATAATGGTATAAAAGCAAGGCAATGATGATGAATGATTGAGAATTTTGGTTCAAATTAGAAAGAATAAATAAAGAACAAACAGCTGAATGCTGATCTTTCTCTATTCACACAAGTAGCAGAGACATAGATACTCGAAACGGAATATCAGAAAAATGCTAAAACTTCATTTAGAAAATATTTATATAACAGTAGTAATAGATAGTAATTAATATCAAAAAGTAATTTAAATAATAATGAAACAGAAAAACAGATATAATAATTTTACAGGAGGAACAGATAGTGATAATGATGGAGAAATTGTTACATTAAAATACATTGCCGAACAAGAGATCTAGTCCACATTACATATCAAATATAGTAATGTAGATGATACAATTACTACGAGTACATATTCTAATGAAATAGAAAATCATGGAAGTCGTTCTATACTTCTACTATGGAATATAGTAGGTATATTAAGTACTCATGGAATTTTATTGGTTTAGTTAATAATACTTATTCAACCTACATATATTTAGGGCAATAGAAAATATTTAATAAGACTTCTGTTTTTAAAGTTTTATGGTTTACTATTCTTATTCAAAGTAATAATTGTCAATTTCTGGACAAAGTTTTTCTTTGGTGGAAAACATTATCATTTAAATCACTCCCCTTTTGATTTGGAATTATGTGTAGTATTTCGAGTATTAGGAGAAAGGTTAAGTCAGAAATATTATAATTCATCTTTGTCATCAAAGCTCATCAAGACAAAAGTAACTCACTGTATGGGATTACGTTCATTGGCGTTATTTTATCTTATTAGGAAATAAACGTGTCGTCAGTGTTCTGGCGTCAATTATTTCATATTGTGTGAACCTGTCACCATTATACATGTTACAATATTATAATTCTAATCTCACAAAAGCGACTAATTTATTAATGAAAAAAAAGAAAAGAATCCTACAAAAAGAAAAAAGAAACTATTCATTTCTAAAGACCCTGTGAGCTACCAAATAATCGTGTAATGGAGAATGGTAACTTCGTTCAAAAGATTCATGTAGTCCTCCTCCATTTTGTTTTATAGCTAACCCTTTATCGATTGGTACATTAAAGTTTGATTTAAAACTATGTTTGTTGGGTGGATGGCTATGGGCGACGTTTGCTTTAAGAACCTCCAATTTGTCTGTTAGAATAAGGTGTGCCTTACATTTCCACTTAGAGCCATACGCAGTGCAACTCCAGCGATGGGCATTTGACCTCGCTTTCAAATGTTTATAAAAGGTAAAGTTGTTTAACCGGAGATTGATGCGACCATTGGGGCGTAGGTAGAACTCGGCTGTGAAAGAAAAATTACAATTAGACCGTACAATTTTTATTATATAAAACTAAAACTTAAACCTGCTAGTGTTAGATAGGTACCGTTATTTTGGCGTCTCGTCCTCGCTATTTGATACGAGTAACGAGACACTGTTATAGAATAAGTTATAATAGTATTAGTGAACTTAAACTAGTATGTAAATTGGGTAAGGACAATGAAATCTACATTACTTATTGGACGGGAATTAAGTAAGGACAGGCATTGTTAGAAAATAATAGTCAGCATTTTAAAAGAAACCTTGATTATTTCATTAGCAGTAAAAATATATCTGAACCCAATAAAAATAATTAATTTTGTGGTTACAAATATCTTTACTAATATAATGCAATATATAATTTAAAGTGAAAATAATGTAAATCAATATATTTTTTTTCTTACGACATATGACATAATTAACTTGTTTAACCCATATTATTATACATTGCAGATACTTAATACTATCTTATAATCTAATAATAATCTCTAATAATACATATATAAAACTATTCAAGTATATACACTACTATAAAAGATGTGTCACTTTTCCAAAATTATACCCATTAATCAGACTAAAAAAGCGGATTAACAGAGGACAAATTAGACTATACAGACAGAGTATATAGACAAAAAAAGACTGGCTGAAAAACTATAAAGTAAAGTAAAACACATTTTTTTATTATTTGGATATACTAGTTATATCCCATGTCGTTGAATGTATTCGAATTAAAAAGTATCCCATGTGTTAATCTAGAATATTATCTATTTGTTTACCAAATTTTAGTCAAATCAGCAACATTAATCTCTCTTATAAATTATCGGAATTAGAATATTAGTAGAAATATTAAGAGCTCACAGTAACGTAATAAGGTACAACTAAGGTATATATATATAGCAAATGCCGATCCATAGAATAATAAAATTAATCTATTGGTGGCGGTACGCAAGGATCTAATAACACCAATTCAAATTAAAAAGCAAAATATATTCTAATTTCCCGTAAAGGACCTATTATATTTCATTATATATTACATATTCTAATCGTACTACGTATTAAATATTGCTTATTTAAGAATACTTACTTAATATTATATACTTGATATATTTATATACATTATTATGCTTGAATGAACGCACAAAGGCGTAGGGTCTTATTATCTTAATAATTACAAACTTATTTATATTATTAAGTAACTCATAAAAAATAACTAGAACAATAAAGTGAAGTACCATGATATATAATTATTATGTTATAAAATTCATATTATGAAATTTAGGAGTTTAAATATGCAATCGAAACAAATATTTGTAGAATGTCAGTGTAGCAAATTGCGATTTAAAGTGTCTTTAGATTTAGAATCTAACATTGTTACTTTATCTGTACCTATAATTCATCAGTTACAGCAATATCTAATACTGGTTATGGGCCCAGATGTAAATTTCATCGTGTCTCTTTTAAAATAATAATAAATCATACTCGTGTGTTCCAGCGCTTTGTGACAAGGAATGTAGTATTCGAAGACGACAATTTTTTCTAGTAGTAATATTATAAATTAAAATTGATCAATTAATACTAACTGATGAAGTACAAAGTTAAAATAAATTGGACATATTTGATCACGTATCTTTCTTCTATGAGTTTTTTAGTCAAAATACAAATTTATTATGCTTAAAGGAATATAAATAATTTCTTCAGGGAATTTTCTATACATCCTACATTGATATGGACTGTAGAATTATTTAAAGACATTACAACATTGGTAATATCTATTTATTTATTGCTAGTTAGCAATTCAGTAGTATTATTGCATTTTTATTCATCTACTAGCCAAGTATCTATTTCTATAATACATAAATTTAGTAAATCGCTATGTTCTCTCGTCTTGTAAGTACAATTACCCATCACCCATGTTTCCTTGCACGCTAGTTATTTTCATACTATGGAATGGGTTAGCCACTTCTTTATTTCTACGTGCTTTCTTTGTCTGCAAATAAAAGTTCAAATTTAATATAAAATCCAAGCATTTAAACTATATTTCGCTACTTAAAGGATTATAAAAATCAGAGGGAGTCTAATTCAGTCGTCAGCATCTTGCTTATCTTGCTGTTTCGTTTTGACAGTTAAGACATGACTGTGAAATAATTTGGATTGAGGCATAAGTTAGTTTCCAGGTATAACAAAAAGTTTAAGGTTCTTTTAGACGAACCTGGTGCTATTTCTGTTATATAATCGACGCTTACCACTTTCTTTTAGGTGGGCCGTCAGATTGTTTTTTTTTTATTTATTTGGAATGGCAAACAAGCAATAACCGTTGCATCGCCTATATGATATCCGCGATATCACTCATGAGTTGCCATTCCAGAAGACTAAAATGTCATGCCTCTTATCCTGTATATTCACTGCCTTATCTGCATTTTACAACCAAAATACAGCTTTTGGCAGCAGAAATAGCTTGTTTATGATTCCTCGTCATTATAATGCAAAATATACATATTAATAAGTACTTACGTTTTCCAAGAGAAACGTAGCGGGTGCATGGGTGTGTTCTGTTTGTGCTCTTACAACCAGCATATCATTGGTTACGTGGAGAAAGCCTCTGCAGGATCTGGACCCCATCTGAGTGCAGCTCCAGCGGTATCCGTCGCGGAGGTGTTTATGTTGGTAATATGTGTATCCATCTAGCATTAGAAGGTCCTTTCCATTGCGTCCCTTCACCATAAGTACTGAAATTTAACTACATTGTTAACGTCCTGTCTTTAATTTAATACTAATATATTTAAAAGAGCATTTGGGAACTGTTCTCTATACCTGTAAATAAACATGATATATGAGAAGAATATGATGATACATGAGGAGAAAGATGTCACTACTATATGTATAATGACCGCCTTCATAGATTCCAATGAATTAGGTATTAATATAAATAAATTCTAAAATCATAATAAATTAACGTTTCAATTATTAACTATGAAAATACAATAAAAAATAGAGCAATAATAAACACCATGTATTTTTATCATTTGTATATTTTTAAATAACTATATAATTACATTAGAGATACATATAGCTGCGTAAGTACATATATTTCATTTATTTAAAATTACTACTACAAAACTATTAATACTTATTCATACTTAAAACAGATTAAAAATACCACAAAAGTGGTATACACAAAAGTGGAATATATTTATATATTATAAAAATTTCCCCCTTTTCCTTGGAAAATGTTAAATCTATTAATTTTATTGAAATGCCTGAATAACTTTACACCCCCATTTTTAAATAGACACCGCTCTTTAGTTTCGAGTACCTCGTCGGCTCATGTGTATGCGTCGTGTTTAATCCAACTACTTTACCATTTGCGTCAACCAATATAAACGCCTTACATTTCGTGGAGGTTTTTCTTGTACACCTCCATCGCCTACCACGACTGGTGAAGGATTCTTTGTAGAACGGAAATTCGTTGAATATCGCCAGCTCTTTACCTTTGTACGTCCGTATAAATGTCACTGAAATATTTCTAGTATTATTATTATTTTTACCATCATCATCGTCTTCTTATCCCATATCATTTGGGGTCGGCGCATGACCTCATCCATTCATCTCTGTTCGCAGTCATCTCATTATTCACTTCCTTTTATGTCGTATCATATATAATCCGCTCCATCCATCTATTCTTGTATTATACTTACCACTATTAACTAATTTTACCTCTAGTACTGCACGCTGCAAGCCATTTTCTATAGATTTGGGGCTAAACTTAACAACACCATTTCTTGGCAGAGAATAACGTCGTGTTACGATGCTCTGCCAAAAAACTATACCTATCGTATTAAAATTATTTTACATCACCATCATTGCATCATGGCCTAGTGGTTAATGATGGCCAATTTAAACGCAAGTACGCCGAGTTCGAATATGATAAACATAAAATAATATGTGTTCCAATGTACATTGCTGCCGTACCCTTTCACGACTAAACGGACGTTAATGCTGATAAATTATATGACAAGAATAGACATAGGCGGAATTGTGTCTAAAAACAGAACGACTGAAGTTTAGTACAATGCAAAATTGAACATAAGTTTGTATATCAATATAAAACTTATGTTATGTTCAATTTTGCATTAATATGTTATAACTTTATACAGAAATTCCTTCCTCATGAAGCCAAAATAATTATCTCGAATGACGAAAACACAAAGTTCATTAAATATCCGCATATAGTTTCAAGATATATTTAAACAATGGATTTTGCACTATTATAATTTAAAACTAGTATATTATTATTAAAATTATTTATTTTATTAGTCAAAAACAAACTAAGAAAACATCAATTGTTATGGTAAATTTAATTTAAAACTCAATAACAATATCTTACAATTATAGTAACATTAATCTGCTTATAGTATGTAAAACTATACTTGTCCTGACCGTAGGAATGCACAACCCAAACCACTAGTTTTTTCCCGAGGACTAAGAAATCATACTTCTTTACTTGCCATTTCATTGATTCATCTGCACTTTACAGCCGAAACAGCTTACAAAGTAAGCTACTCGGCAGTTGAAATAGGTGAGACTGAGGTACTCACGCAGACGAGTTTTTACAGTCTACCTCTGTAATATATTTAAGAAGTAACAACTACATTTGTGCCTAAAGCAGCTAAAGTCTAATATAACTCCCATCACTATCCCGAATCAACCTCGACGGTTGATGAGTGTGATTCTCGTTACACCTTATGATTCTCGAATCATCACTCACTATTAGGAACGCGCTGCACTTCTTCGACGCGTGGACGGAGCACTGCCATCTTCGGCCTCCGAGTCTCAGCTGATAGTGTCTACTGTACGTATATCCATTTAGCATTACTTGATATCTGCCATGATGTGTTCGTATGAAGTTAACTGAAACGTAACATCAATTCTTACATACAAGAGACTTTACTTACTCAATTTACATCAAAATGCATCTTATGTTAGGAAATATAACAATTACAACCAAGACCATTCAAAAATGTTGATTCTATTTTTAAAATTAGCTAAAATTTTGAATATAAAAACGTTTGCACTGTTGAGATATCATCAAGATGAGTCGATAGTGATTCGTCATGAAAGATTAACAACAATGTACTAGCAGAATTGAGTAAACCATTAGTAAAAGTATACTAATCTAGGAAAATAAACAGGCAAAAGAACAATTGGTCCAGAAGAAAGACAACATAAAGCGAAATCAACGGAATTAATACAGTTGCACTTGCAAGGAAAGATATTAAAACTATTACCTACTATTTAGTTAGCATTCACAATAGCATTATAAATTAATCATTTTAAAATACTTTTGAACGTTTAAATACAGAATTTGCAGCACGTTTATGTCAAGGACGACCTGACAATCAGTATACTGCCGATAACAGCAAATGTTAGTGTGATAAAATAAAACTGTAATTCAGCAATAAATACAGATTATTTTTATTCCATTTTTAAACGAAATCATTATATTTATAATAAATAATAACATTTTTTTAAATAAATAAGCCGTAGACTGGACAATATAAACATGCCTAGATGGACCCTGATTAACATTAGCAGAATAATTTAATATAGGTTTATTTATTATGTTCCTTAGGTCATATTCAGATTTACAATCAGCTCAGCTTATAGTTATTACATAGGTAAAATGTAACTTACAAGTATATTTATACACAACAGCTTAATTAGATGTCAGCAAATTCTTAATGCATGGATTACAAAATGAACTACAAAAACGATCACGATAAGCCATATGCTAGTTAAATATATGTTTCACCGAATCTCCAATAAATACTGTCCTAGTTCAAGAGAACTTAAGAAATCTTAAACTCTATTGATATATACGTAAATTTGGGAATATAACTTCTATATACACTCCAAAACTTCACATGTGATTGTACATTATAGTAGGGGATATGTGATAAGAAACTTCTACCCTCATCAGTTATTTGATAACGACAAAGACTAATACTAGTACTAAGTTTGTGAGTATGGATTAATGGATGGATGGATCTTTGTTAATCTTTCAAGTATATACTACTGAATGGATTTTAATAAAACTTTACAATATAACTTATATATGAGAATAACATATAGGCTTATTAATTTCACGCGAGTGAAACCGCGGGCACAGTTAGTGTTAGTAATTTAATTAGTAATAATAATAATGACCCTGTACAATTTACACAGCTCTATCTAGTTCCACGGTGAGCAGAGCTTGGTTATGGGTACTAGACAACTCATATAAATACTAGATTTTTTTGTAAATATGTACATACATAATATACACTGACGACCTCGGTGGTCTAGCGGTCAAGCACACCGCTTTACGACCGATGGTCGCGGGTTCGATTTTTTGTAATTACATACAAACAAACACGAAACAAATCATCGAAACAATCATACTGATGAATACAAATGTTTGCACCATGTGTAGATTCGCACCCGCGACCATCTAAGTAAAGCCGTGTGCTAAACCACTAGACCACCGAAGCCGTTATCATATGTAAACGTAATTATCGAATAATACATGAGAGTAGACGGTCCTTGAACTAACGAACTTGACCGTAAAGAAACTAGTTTTACGGCCGCAACCTAACATATATACCTTGCTGCGTGCGCTGGTATATTGGGGGATCATGCAAATGAACTGGGTTACATTTCACTATTAGATCACTGTTATCAATGATAATGTACGCTTTGCAGCTTTTCGAGGCGCACATAGTGCATCGCCATCGGGTGCCTGCCTTCACAGCAGTCTGTTTGCAATATGTGTAGTCGTTCATCAGGATGAACTGGTGACCGCCTATTGTTCTAATATACTTCACTGAAAACAAAAAGAGGTAATAATTACACATACCTAATCATAAAAAGCATTTTTGCACAAATGATGAATGTGAATGTGAGTGATGATGAATTGATGGCTGTCTGTTGCTCTTTTACGCAAATGTAACTTTACAATAATATAGATTATACTTTGGAATAACACATAGATTATAAATTTCACGCATCATCTGAAACCGCGGGCACAGCTAGTCACATACAGTTACAACGCAATGCTGCTTTAAATAAGTAACTTATGAGATAAAATTGTTTTTATAATAGTAGAAAAACATATTTAGAAAACAGACCGCTTTTGAAAATTGAGTTTAAAGTTTAATATAAACTATATTTTGTGTACCTCTGGCATATCCAAAGTTGAATAATTACAAAGAGATGATACTTAAATCAAAGAAAAATGAAAGCTTCAAAACTTTAAACTAAAAAAAATACATACTTCAAGATATCTTTAAGCATCGGTCACATAAACTTGGTCGTGATAATGTAGTTTATCTTATAGATGGATGTGTATCATATGATAAGGATGCAGTCAGATCAGTCGACTCATTATAGCGAATTTATCAGTAATTAAACATGACGGTTTCTAAAGGAGACGTGTGGAAGTCGACCTGATAGGTTACATTGCTAGCAATGTAGATTATGTACTGTAAAATATTCTAAACATAAAAATATTCTAAAGTACTTATATTAAGTTTATTATATAAGAAAAATATATTACTTTTAAATTTTGTCCATAATATATGGATAAAGGCTACTAAAACGATACTGAAGTTTGACGTTTATACATCGGATTTTTCTTTTGTCCCTCTCTGATCGGCTATAACAACTTACGAAAATGAAGAGGGCCCGTAATATGGATGCAATGATCACTGCATAGTTACTAAAAGATTTGTATGATACATGATATGTATATTCTAAATCATTATTATAATGACGTACCAATCATAAACTATAAGAAAAAGAACAAATAAAAAGTAGTATTACTCTTAGTCACAAACAATGAAAATATGCTTAAAACATACTGCTGTATAATACTATATATACTGTCAGTAATAAAAGTATTATTACATATGCTGGTTGTAATAAAAAAAATATTATATCCGAAATGACTTTATTATGTCCAAAATATTTTATATATACAGAAATGCAAACATAACACAAGATTCCACAAATTGGTTGACTATCAAACATAGATAAATTAGCAGATATAAATCATAGATAAGCTGTATTTTATACTAAATTGTCGCTTTAAAATCATACACAAGCCATTTAATAGCAATCTGTAAATATAAATGCATTACATAAACAGTAAAAAACCATTTGTAGATCAAATACACAAAATAACGATTTTTGCAAGTTGCACTTATTATTTTAATGACTTCAAAAGAATAGTTTTTAGTACTTAATGGATTTGCATTATTTTCTTTAATACCGCTACCATTAGCTTGTGTGAGACCACAAATATTCAGTGCGGAAATTTGATCACCGCTTCCAGTAGGGTTACGACCTTCTCCATTAGTGATCAAACTCCAACCGTGATCGGACGTACACCCATATTGCGACTATATTTCGCCTCTAAACGAGGCATCATCAATAAATTTTATATAGTTTAGAAATCTAGTGTTGACTGTTCAGTAACACAGCATTCAGTCATTCAAAGGTTGACTGGAAGAATTTCCTCATTTGGCTTAAGTCCGCCAATGTACATCTTATATATATATTTTTTAAGATCGTTGTATCTTTAGTTAAAAACAAACAAACAACACTACATTACAGATAAGATGCCGTTTATCTGTTTGTCGCACGTTTGAGCACGCTAATCTCATATGGGTCTTGACCGATTCAAATCTAGAATATAATGTATTCTTGCCAGACTCCCATTAAGCATTTGGTGGTAGGTTTTATTTCAATCCGTTACTAAACAAAAATATAATCTAATTTACTAATTCGAATACCACACGTACCTTACACTTTTACATATATGCCTTCCTGCGTACGAAGGTATTTAGAATTTTCGTGCTCGTGATATTCACGAAATTTACAAATTAAACCGTCTTCACTTGTAATAACGTAGGCATTACAATGGCGTTTTGTGCACTGCCACCTCTGAGCGCCAGACTTCAATTTCTTGTGTTTGGAAAAAGTGTACTCGTGAAACATAAGTAGTATTTTTCCAGAATGTGTTTCAATCAACTTATACGTGAATGTAGCTGTAGGTATAAAATAAAGCGTGATAGTTACTTTTTTAAATATTACATCAATTCATTTTACAACAGATAAAAAAATACAACAAACATAATATTTGAAGGGAATAGTGACTGGATAAAAAAATAACAGACCATTCTGTTATAAATATTTAATTCTATGTGTTCCACATTTACGCATAAAATATACGACTATGTCCAATATAAAACATAACTCGTCTTTAATTAAACAAATAAACATTAAAAGAGTTACATAAAACCCATTATTAATCTAGTTCTATCGATATACAATGCAGTATAATAATAAAATCCATTGTGGATTTGTATTTAATACTAAGTAAGGTAAAGGTGAAATTAGCACATTAATGTGATTAGATATTTAAAGAGTATTAAATACAGAAAACATTAGCATAGTGGTTTACTATTTCATTTCAGACCGAAGAGATATGACATCAAATTTGACCAGCACAAAAATTTAATGACAAATAACAACAAACGAAATTTATCCTTGTTACCTGCCACATTGGATTTAAATTGTATCCAGTTAAACGAGGGTATGACAGGTGTTGCGTACAGCACGGCGTCGAGATTCGATAATGCCTCTGGGATAACAATTGTCAGTTTTTTTTTTATTTAATTGGCATCTAGTCTGTCGCCTCAGATGATGATAAGTGGCAACAGTCACTGTTGACTATATACAGCACCACGGGCACACATCATGTGACTCTCATAGTACGACTTATGCGTTGACTTATGACTGTCCTTCCCGAGGACCTTTAATTTCACTGCCATCCGTTATCCTTCAACTTAAAAAACTTACAGAGCTTAAAACTATGTAAGATCCATCAACTATGAGTGAATGTTATTTATCAACGAATATTTTCTTTATTGGTATAAGTAATGTGAAATATTATAATGTATGTATACATACGTGACCTATTAGTATAATACGATATAAGTGTGTTATGATGGTTATAACACACGAGGCGTAATTTCAGTAACAGAGCCAGAGTAACAGAGTGTGTTAAATACGCAGGTATATCCACGATCGTTGATTTAAAAAAACTCAACCATAAAACTGTGATGAACACTTTTGCTCCGCGTGGCAGTGTATACCAGTTTTATAGTTGAGTTTATTTAAAATCAAGTGAGTTGACAAACGTCATACGATATACGTGCGTATTTAACACACTCGACTATATTACGCCCTCGCATTCGGCTCGGGCTGAAATTCCGCTTCGTGTGTTATAACCATCATGACGCACTTGTAATCATCTTACAGAAGTGCTACTTCTAATATAGTCTAATATAAGTTCCGTCGTTATGCCGATGATACTTGGGAGGATCGTGTGTATGGACACCATTCGCTTTTACAATAATTCCAGCACTGCTTACAATGACATAGGCGTTGCAGCCGCGCGAAGCATTCCTGGTGCACTTCCAACGTACCCCTTGCTTCTGATTGCAATGTTTGCAGTATACGTACTGATTGAACATTAATAAATGCTTGCCGTAATTCGTAACTATCATAGTTGCTGTAAAATACAAAATCTCAATATAATATTTTATGTGTACACACATAAAAGTAAATTGAAAAGCTAATAACTTATGCTAATATATATTTGTAATTGTTTGGAAAATGTTTGTGACACAGAAAAAACATTCATAGTAAAATGAAAAATTTGCGTTCAAAAATCTTGCAATTCAGTTATAGATTATTTCATTTCATGGGCGGTATACCAAGAATATTTAGTGTAATTTTCTTCAATAGTATAGCAAAACCGGGCGGGATAGTCCAGTTTTGAGAAAAAATGTTTTTTTATCAACTGGAAACACGTTGTTGTATCCACTCCTATTTTTTTTAATAAAGTAACGACAAAATAGATTTACATAGATACTTAATTTAAGAAATAATATAGAGTGAAGGTTGAAAGGTATAGTAAAGAAAATTAGACAAAATATTCCTGTGCAATCGCCCATGAAATGAAATAAAACTACTGCTGAATTATAATTAATACAACTTATTTGGGATAGGAAGCTAGAGAAATTAAATATTTGTTACAAAAAGAGTGTAAGAGTTACAGGTTATATTAAGAGAATTTACAGACAGACTACAGAAGACAGTACCTATCTGACGATCTCCTGTGTTTGTCGCATCTTCTTCTTCATAATAATTATCTTTAATTAAACTTTGTATACGCATTTCCTTCTTTCTTTGATAGTTGCGACGTTCTTTTTCTTTCAACTGTTCTCTTTTTATAGGGTCGTTAATAATTCGTTGGTACCTTAATCGTTCTGCAATTCGCTTGCGTGCCTTTAATTCTTCTTTATTTTGAGTTTTCATTTTAGATAACGTCATGGAATCGATATCTAAAAGAAAGTAAAATATGGTTTACTTTGCAGAACAGACGATATGTAAATGAGTAAAACCATTTCTGTAAACATAAATAAGGTAATCATTTGAAGTATACATCATCCTTGGGTAAAAGCTTATTTATGAATAAAAATTTCATAACATCTTTTTTTTTATTATTATTTAATGTTATCAGAAATTAACATCGTCAATTGTCATGCATAAATTATTACAATTTAATAGAATAGACAATCCTTTATTCAAATGTACCTACTCAATTTAAGCACTTTTCAATAGTCTTAGTTCCGAAGATTTGTGTTCATTTTGTGGCCACTGCTACGCATTCCAGGATTACGTGAGCGGCTGTTTCTTCGGCTTCAAATAGCCCTGACAAAGGGGACTGTCTGTAGCACCTATTGTGTACAGGTGTTTGTTTTACCGACAGTGGCCCGTTATTATCCCTATCATGTAATGCTTACAGTAAGTAAAGTCAATAAACACCAACAATCTTTTGCTGAGTCATGTAGTGACGAAATAAACTGCAAAAAAGCAACATTGTGTAACTATATATAATTTTATAAGAATAGCTTACCTTGTATATGTAATTAGGTTTTATGCTATAGTTGACATGGTGATAAACAGAAGCGGCGAGTATACGTAGTGGATTAAAGTTAAAACTTTGTGCAATCCATTTATCAAAAGAAATATTACAGCACTTGAAACAGAAATATTACGCAGTCGATGTAAATTGCAGCCACAGAAGACATTCAGACAATCCCAGTTACATGCAAGTAGAAAGACAGAATAAAAAAAATTATAAGGCATCTAATCAACCAGTATTTATATATAAACAATAAATAAGAAATTAATGGATTTATATTATTTTGTTTAATTCCGTTACCATTAGCATATGTGAGTTCACAAATATTCAGTGCGGAAACAAGACACCCCTACTGAATGCGTTGCTACCTTTTATATTGGTGATCAAATTCCGCCTCTGAAAAAGGCATCATCAGACATTAAACAAAATTCTAATATAGCATGGAAGCCTAGTGTTAAGTGTTCGGCAGTCACAGTTCAGTCGATAATATAAACCCATTAAGTAATGAAATGGAATTCCACAAAATAACACCTAATTTTATAAAATATATAGTAAATAAAAATATTACATATACATACATATACACATTCATATACACCTATACACATAAACATAGACACATATATACTGAATACATACAACAACAATTATAATTATATTGAAATACCCATATTACATTTTTGGTTTCCAACATGGCCGACACTCAGAATATGCCGTGTCATCTAACTATTTTGGCGCTGATATTCTGTCTCACTCACTACGTTCTTGATTCTTTTTAACATTGCGACAAAGAAAACTGCCTGTTTTTAGGTATACGAACGTGTATTAGAAGGAATGTTTGGAGAGCAATAATATATGTCATCTACATAAATTTAGTTTACATAAAATTGTATGCATTGTAGTAATTGGCACATACATAGTTATGCACAGTTATACACCCATAAATACTTATTTAGATAATAGTAATAATGTAAATATTGCAGGCTTATACTATTCTGAATAAATAAAATAAATACAATTGCATATGAATCAAAATAAATAAATAAATAAAAATTGCCTAAATAAACTATCATTTTTTGTCACTAGCTATTCTAAGGATTAAGATTTTATAAAATATTCTTCTGTTACTAGATTTGGATTGAACGGCCACAAACCCGTTATTTCAAAGTTTTTTAATCCTAACTCCATATGAACGCATCTAGGGAATGCATAACCAAGGATTTCCGCATAATTGGTCTGCTCAATATCTTTACCATGATTTGAGCTAAGCCAAAAATTTGCGGCTTCTTTGTAAGTATCTTCCAATGACTTAAAAAACGTTCTTCTTAAAGGTTGAAGGCATTGTGTCGTGTGAAGAGGAAAAGATAGCAGAAAAATACCATACTCACGCGCCAGCTGCATCGCAGCTAAGCTTTTGGAATATTCATTATGACCATCTAATAATAACAACATTTGTATATTTTTACTTTCCTCTAAATTCGTATACTTAATGAAATGTTCTAACCACTGTAAAAACAACTCTGGCGTTATGCATCCATTTTTTGAACACCCAAATGCAGTATTCGCAGGTGCTTCTTTTTTGAGAGAGTCGTCTACAGTATTTCTTTCGTATATTAGCATAGGTGGTATAAATTCTCCTACCGGGTTCATGGCACATATACATGTAACACTTAAAGATCTATTTTTACTAATCAGTTCATTGTCTGCGTGAGATAAAGTTGTGCTATCAATATTGTAAATACGATCAGCACCTAAATTATGTTCATTGAGAATTTTTTCATATTTATTGTAGAAATCCCTAACACGACCCATGCACAATTTTTTATTTCGCGGTGATATCGCCATCAGGGTACGCGAGAACAGTAATGGATATTCTTTCTTAAAATTATAATACCAGTGCTTACCGGCCATTTTCTGTGCTTTGTTAAAACCAGGATGTGGTAATTTGTGTTTTTCGGCAAACTGGTATGCTAGTTGCCTCAACGCAGTAACGCTATAAGAAAAGAAATTTGCCTCCATTGCAAGCAAATACTGAACGAATTCATTTTCTGCCTCATCTGTTAAATATTTAGGTCTACCAAATTTAGTGTTTACATTTAATCCTTTCAAGTGACGTCTAAATGTAGGTTTAGGTATTTTATATTTTCTACACGCTTCGTTAAACCCAAGTTCGTTCTTCCGGTACATTTTTAAGGCTTCGTCCATATCTCGCTGTTTCCAGGTATTGTACTTTATCTTCGTTTTTGTGACTAAAAGAACCAGTTAAACGTTTTAATAAACAATCATCTGGTGGTGCTAGCTTGATATGCCTTAAAATATGTCTATATATAATATATATCGTGAATAATATAATTTATATATGGTACAACTCATTTGTAATAAGTCACAAATTTAACAAAAAGGTAGACAAACGCAAGAGTTTTTATCTTCATTTACTCATTTTACTAAATTTTGTGTTGCTCAGTCATATGTTGCCTTCCAAACTATAAAATTAAAATATAATAGATATTTCATATAATATAATAACTTGAAAAATTCATAGAGAGAATTAAAATTACGAACATTTGTTCGGCGAAAATCTAACTTTTGATTTTTCTATTATAAATGTGCCAATTTCAGTGTTCATTAATCATTTGAGATAAATAAAAGGCAAAATACATACATACTAATTATACTTAACATAATTTGCGACAGTTATTGAAAATTATATTAGTTACACTATTACTACTAAGTATTAGTCATTAATATAATTAATAATCAATCAATAACAATTACCTAAATAATCTAATAATCACAGTTATAGTAATAATTTGAGTGTTTCTTGGGTACATGTTGAAATTTACTATTGTCGGATACAATTACATATTATGAACTTCTGGACGTACTCTGTGTAGGTATATACATATTTGAGACCATTTTCAACATTAACTTTGGATATAACACGTATAACTATGACATTGAAAATAACTAACATTTAAATATAACAATAGACCAACAAATTCTTGTGAGTTATTTATAATATTATTTTAAGATTAATACCTTAGAAACACACTTAGAATTAAAGATTCGTTAGTTTCATTAAACAATAAAAGTATATTACGGAGATTACTCTGAGAAGATCGTCATTTAGCGAAAAGCTGCCTATTGTTTTGATTATAATAAATATATATTATAAATACAATATTAAAACAAAAATATTATGTAAATCTGTCAGTTGTTTAATAATTATAACACAAACTTGGTTTAACTTGGACTAGATGACGCTGTGTTACTTAAGTACGGTGAGGCTAGGAGTAGACTCCTCTCAAGGAGTGGGCTGTAGAGCCTGCGCTGCCTGGGTCATGGTAGACTGCAACTTCAATCCTATGACCCTGGCGCTAGTAGCAAGTGGAGTACACTATGTGGTTTTAGCTGGTAGGCGTCCGGCAATCGTTCGCCTCCATCAGATCTACATGAGGATATCACTATGTAAAAAAAAAGATGTTGGATTGTCACAGCGATTCCGTGACTCCAGCATATGGCGTTGGATGACGGATATCTTGGAGTTTTCACTAAGGGGAAGACTCCTAGTCTGATAGAATGACGCTGTGTGAATTTTAAAGTTTATACAAACTGACTGGGTTATAAGGGGCAATTCATGCTATTTATGATATATGTCACAGTCAAGTTGGATTTTGCAGGATAAATTTTAGTATAATATAGGGCCAATTCACAATGTGCCGAGTCGGCACCGCCGACCTACGTCGGTATTTTACTGCAATATTCAACTCCTACAACTCGAATCACAGTTTATAAATCAAGCTGTGGAAATCAGAGGTACGAAGGTTTGTCCCTGACGACTTAGTACAAAGTCCACCTGGCTTACAATTTTTATTATTATATTCCAATAAAATAATCTATATACTAACTGTCCCGGCAATTGTTGTATGGACATATAAATTAATATGGCTATTAAAAAATAGAGGCTGGTGATAGATGGGTAAAAATTTAAGGTTGTATGTACTTTTAATGAAACATTATAGAAATATAAAAAAATAAATAAAAAACAATTACCAAAAATAAAAATGTTAGGAACAACCCTTATCACTTAGGGATATGAAAAATAGATAGCAGCCAATTCTCAGACCTACTGGATATGTAACCTATTCAGTAGGTCTTAGGTCTAACATTGTGACACGAGAATTTTATATATAAGATATAAATAACTAAATTTTGACGTATGTGCCAGTGGTGGTCCTATGATAGTTTGCAGCGGGGTGTGTGTGAGCTTCATTACGTTTCACAACATTTCCCATTCCATTTAATATGAGGTAGGCATTGCAGCGTCTGGAAACACTGGATGTACACTGCAGCCTCACACCAGACTTCAGCTCACAGTGCTTGCGATATGTAAAGTTGTTCAGCATTACCAGTTTCTTACCAGCGTTGGTGACAATGAATGTGACTAGAAATAAAACATACCATTCATAAATTAAATAAAAATTTAATATAAATTAAGATTAATATAAATGAAGAAGTCTTACAGAGGGTGAAAGAAAAAAAGGCCGATATTGAATAATAAAGAAAATAGACGAGGAAAAATGTTAGGACACTTGATACGGCACGATGAATTTATGAAAATTATTATTGAGGGAAAGAATGGGAGAGGACGACCAAGGCTTTCTTTCTTTAATTTGCTTGATGTAGCTGTACAACAAGCAAATTAAAGACAGAATTGCAGTCGTGACGTACTTATCAACGTTTCAAGAGTATGATGGAAGATCGTGGAAAGTAGCAAGAGCTCCACCGACAAGAGCGTCGCTCTTAAATTATGAATGAATGAAGAATTTATTATCATCTTCTACAAGTAAATAGCAGTAGCTATTTTTTGATAATTCCAAGACCAACGGATACAATTGGGACTTATTTCGGATATTTTGCATTCTAGTATAAAAAAACATGAGCTTATTTCAATACAGAGTCACCGGGCTGTCACTGAGCCATTAGCCATTTGAGACATTTTTTTTTCTTACGCAATTTGCTGACTTTCTTCCGGTATTTATTCAGTTCAGCTTGCAGTTTTTTTAATTTTAGCATCCTTCTCTTTTATTTCTTTGTTTCTCTTACGTCATTGTATAACTGACTTTTGTCTAGCCTCTCTTAACTGGTGACTGACTAAAAGATGGTTCTTGCAATGGTGAAAGCAGAATCTGGGACGACGATGGTTATCAAATAAAATCTTCACTACATAAGCTTGATGGAGTGTTCGCTTTTATAAAATCTGTAACACTGTTTTTAGCAGCACATTTTTTCTTATAGTATTTACTAGATCTTGCCCGCCAGGATTTCTTGCAGTGCCTTTTTTTACGATCGGTCATTTCAGTTATTGTTTTTATTATTCCTGTAGTTCTAGCCTTTAAATAATTTTGTTTTATCTTTTCTTTTAAAGTAGCTAACTTATCTGGATCATTTTACATTCGTTCATAACGTTTTCTTTCATTTTGTTGCTTTTGTGCTAATACTTCTTCCTTGGTGTTTTTTTTTCTGAGGCTGTGGCATTTTGGTTTCTGTGGAAAAAGGCAACGTTTTTTTATTACATACATAGGTATAATATTAAGAGGAAATTCGGAATGTAAGTAATCCTGTTTAAATGGATCCAGACAAGTGATACACAGGAAAGTGATAATGCTGATGTTTTTTTATAAAAAACACAAAAACGGCGTCCTTGAATTATATGTTAATGCTTTATGGTATATTTACACTAGGTATATCTTGATTACAAGACAATAAACAATATTTAAGAAATCCAAATATTTTTTAAGTAAATACATACCACACAAGTGAGAAGTTGTCTGACCCGAACGCGTCTGGGGTCGACGAGATCTTCTTGGAGAGTTTGATTGGCTGTTAGGCGGAACTTTAAGCGGCAGTGACTTTATTTTACTACGTACATTGTACATTTAAAAACTAAGGAGCTATAATTTCAGCCCACCAAAATTCCTTCACTATAAGAACTAGCCATATCTATATATTTGATTGTGTATATATAGATATATTTAATTATAACTATGACTCCCCTTACTTAACAATAATTACAAAGGACAAAATATAACGTATAAAATAACATATAAACATAACACTTAATATTTTGCCCATATAAAAATTTACCCGACAAAAGTCCCTTATTTTTTTATCCTAATCACATTAACTCCCATAATCACTGCTTTAATAATCATCTTCACCGACACACCTACCACCGTGCTTGCTAAATACTTCACAAATATAAATATATAATATACCACTCTCAAATCACAATTTAGTATAGTATCCATATTTATCACAATAATACCGTGGCGCATCATGATTGTGACTTGCCTGAAATTTAACCACTAGTGGAGTAATCTTCATCTAAGACCACAGAAGCTTTACATTTATGGCTCTTCTGCGTACACCTATAACGCACTCCGATACGCAGTACGCAATGGTAACTGTACGCGAAGTTATTCACCAGTAGTAACTTCCGGTTCTTATTTGATCGCATTGTAATGAATTTCACTGAAAATAACAAAAATAACAATCATTACAATATACGATTATTGTTTCGTAGAGTATCGCATCATACGTAAAAGAATCAGTATAGAAACGAGTCATGAAGCTGATTAAATTAGGTCAATCTAACTCGGTCGGACCATTCCTTAAATCAGGAGTGGCCAATAGGTCGATCGCGACTGTTAGATCGTGGCAAGGCAAAAAATATAAATAGGTAGACCAGACTGCGCAACGTAATCGTAGAAAAGGTTGGCAATTTCCAACTATAAACCTGATTATGATAAACTAGTGACAGATACTCAGACACAATACTCATACTAATATATAAAGGTAAATAAATCTAGTAGCTAAGTTACTAAGAATAATTCTCACATTTATGTTTTGTCTTTTAATAAAATAAAAAACTAAATAATTGTGTACTGAACTATGCTGTTTCATTTAAGATTTCAATAAGTATGTAATTAATTGGTAGATCGTAGGGTTTCAATAGTAAACAGGAGATCTTGAGTCTAATCAAGTTGGCCACCTAAATGATATATTAGGATTGTAGTCCATACCAATACATCTGTTATAAACCTGTTATAAAATATTTCTTAGAGACCACTGCTCAGACTCCCTTTTTACAGGCAATATTATTTGATCGTCCATTTGATCACTTACTTGTCAAGTTTTCCGGTTTAAGTTTTTTTTTTCTACAATCGTATACTAGTTTATTATGTCTTTTAGAATCGCTATCGAGTATCTTTTGTTTTTCCATCATTTCAATGAAAAGCAATATCTTTTCTCACTTCTCCTCCTAACATAGCGTATATTAGGTACATCACCAAGGTTTGCTGCTGAAAAGCTAAATTGAACTTAAGTTGATATGTTGTTAATAAAAAGACATATTTATTGAATAAAAATATCAATAAAATACAAATAGCCTATAATTTTCCGTTTATATTTAAAAAAAATCAACATTAGATGTAAAGATTAATATAAAAATTTACATAAAATTCGACTACGCTGTACTAACAATTACTATAGCGTCAGTACTATCATATAATAGAAGACAGTTCTTATTTGGCACAATTTTGTAGATAAAACTATACATACGATTATGAGATATATTGACTAGGATACTATTTCATATTTATAATCTAAAATAAGTACAAACTAAGGCATAGTACAATTGAAAATAATTGTGATTGTGGACAGCACAAGTAACGCCATCTATACGACCTAACGGCTAAACATTTAAACTTAGTTTTGAGTAACAAGTCAAGAGATGGCGTAATATAGTTACTAGACAGAGTGAAAAAAACACACACTATTACGCTGTATCAATTTGTGAGGCATTGTAAATAAATTAGTACACAATTTTTAAAACAACTACAATTATAGACCTAAATAGTTTTTTCCCATTAATATCTGTTTAGATATATAATATATCTAAATACATATTAATAAAAAAAACTTGTATAAAGAATATATTACAGATCAAATTTTGTAGATTGCCTATCTCATTCGAATTCTCCTTGAATAATACACAAACATTACTTCACTATCGCAATACTGATTTATGGCAGAATGTATGTTTTACTTGCGTTTAATCTTAATTTATAAATTAAAAGGAAGAATAAATAAACACATTTACAGTAATATTTCGTCTACTTAATAAAATTACTATTTCCTTCCTTCGAATTGTTTTTGTCTCATTCGAAAGAGTTTTTAAGTGGACTGACAAATAGAGTTATAAAATAAGTAATATTTTAAAATATGGCAATATAATAATACAACTACATCAAAAACATACAATAATTCATAATTAATAATGCCGTCTATAAGATAATATCGAGATCATTATGACTGAAAAATTAAATTTTCTTTGTACAGTAAGTACCAATATTTGCCACTAGGTGGCGCTTTTCCATAAAATTAACAATTTAGTATACTAATTACGCGTAGAAAAAACGAGCCATCAAATTGGTACCTACGCAGTTACATTTTTGCATATATTACCTACTTTTTTTCTAATATTGTTCATTCTACAATTCTGGTGAAGTTTTAGCACATATTTATAATAATCACTAAAAAAATTACTATTTTATTTCATTAAACAAAATCATATTCATGGTATTACGATAAATTAATAAATTTGATTATTTATACTATTACATCTACATATATCGAAGTAGGTTATACACGAATCACAAGAATAAGTAATGACAACCGACAAAGAAATAACTAAGAACGTATTTGATTTTTAACATTAGTACTTAAGTACTTGATTTTTAAATTCAAATTTGTATAAATATAAAATTTCTCTACTTTTATTATGTTGTCTACTTATATATTTAAATAATGAGACCTGAATTGGGAGCTTTTAAAATTACAAATATATCAAATAATTTGATATTTATCACCTGAACTATGCAATTTATTAGTACTATTTAATTGTTATTTTAATTTAAATAGTTATTCGTATAGCTTACGTGTTGCTTTTTTTTCAGTAAAAAAAATGACTACGAATGCGTAGGTATCTATTTTGAATAACTTTTATTCATCTTCGCTAATTGTCTAGTTTCCGAAAATGATTAATACTTGTACAAACAATTTATCTAAGGCTTTTTTCCTAGTTCGCTCTCGAACTCTTAATATAAAGTGTTGCCATTATTCCCAATTTTAACATTCCCATCTCCCGATCTAACCATTTTTATATTCACCCCAACGTTTTTATATAGTTTAACATTATTATATATTAATATATTATTAGACAAAATGCAAAGATTGATATTTATACAGTATTGTATATCAAACTTTATACACACGTATGTATATATTTTGTGCATAATTATTACAATTCCTATACATTAGTTCGGGCATCACTTCTAACACTATCAATTTTAAGTACCATAACATAACACACCATA